CGTGAAATTCTCTAGATAAAATTTATTCACAAGATTGCAAACATCTTCAACCTTGAAAAATTTATCACCATCTCTTGGCTCCAAAGCACAACCAAAGTTTATAACTCTATCGACTTCTCATTAAATCTACTATTTAACTCTTGTAGTTGAACATCAACTGTAGCATAAAAAATTTCCACTCGATAATGATGTTCAACTGTAAAATGATCTTGTTGACGACGAGCGCGGCCTTCTCTTTCTCTATAAATAGAACTCATATTTGGGATATCTATGTTGAGACTTTCACAAAAATGAGGTAACCTCCATTAAAAGATTGTTCATCCATCATCTCTAAATTTCTGTAGAAATATCTTTGAACTCTCAACAAGATGTAGTGAATTCAAAATATCCTGAGGTTTTCGTTGTAATGATTAAGAAAGTGAATAAGTGATTTCTAATATTTTCTTCATAAGATGTAAAATGAAGACAAAATCAAATGAAGTCAAAGTCTCTAAAGCTGACGCCGCTTCTCCACGTTCAGAAGATGTACTTCCTTCATCAATGAGTTTATATAGAACAACACAAGTGACACTAAACATTTTTATCAAGGTTGAAATTGAACTCAAGTAAGAACCCCATCGAGTATCACATGCCCTCTGCAAATTACTTGTTTGATTCAAACCAGTTCCATTTTCAAGTTCTTCTTCTTCTTCAATCAAATGATTTATCTCGTCAGAATAAGCATTTTTTAGTTCATCAATGCGCTTATGAGGCAAGAACAACATTGATAATAAAGGATAACTTGGAAAAAAATTAATATATAGGTATGACCTCTTTCGCTACAGCTACTAGTTCTAACTGTAAACGATGGGAAAAATAATGCATATATTAAGCAAAAGGACACTTATTGCTAACTAATGCTTGTAACCCATTTCACTTTCCTCGCATGCTACTTGCACCATCATAACCTTGGCCTCGAATATTCTTTATGTCAAAGTGATAACGAGAAAGAACGAAAAATATCTCATCTTTTAAAGTCACTGCTGAAGTATTAGGAACATAAATAATGCTAAAAAAATATTCCTTTACTAGACCGAAATTATCAACTTACCGTAAAATAATAGCCATTTGTTGTTTTCTTGATACATCCACTGCTTCATCAATAATAGCACAAAATTTTTCTTCACGAATTGCTCCCTTAATTTTCTCTACCAGAATATGTAAAATCTTCTTTTGTATCTCAGGCAAAGTGTAAAAAGCATTCTTGGAGCATTTTCTAATTCAACTTTTTCAACATCTTTATTATAAGAGGCTAATTGTTTCACGAGATCAAGAAAATTTCCTCGGTTATATGAAGATTCACTCTCGTCACGACCTCTCATTGGTAGCCCTTGTAAAGCTAGCCAACGCAATGCATCTATAAAGGTTTCAAGTCTAAGCCTATTATTAGCAATTTGAAATGATGTTTGCTTATGCAACATTTGTGGCAAGTGTCTAGACTGGTTAAGAAAATCCTCCAATTCTTGCTCAATAATTTTATGAGGTGAATTAGGTTATAAACCTACATGCATCTTAAAATAACAACTTTTTCCATTTACTTTCTTCCAATTTCGAAACCCATTCATAGTGAAAGTCTTGTGTGATGGATGACTATCTGGTTTGTTAAAAAGAAACCAAATAAAATAGAAGGCATCATCATTTTTAGGAGAATATTCTAACCATGAACGAAAGTTTTTGTACCAAAAAGCATGAAATCGGCAATTGTGAGAAGCATGTCCAGATTTTTTGAATTCAGAGAGTACTGGTTGATATGGACCCTTAACAATATAAGTTCTTCGAATTGCATTTCTTTCTTGTTCAGAAGGATATTCCCATATTTGCTTGCGCTTACCAAGATCTCGCACCAAGTAATTAGAGTTGGTACTTGGTTTCTGATTTCTAGCTATCTTTAAAGGTTTATCTTTCGAAGGTGAAACTTCAATAGGTGTACCAGTTGAAGTTTCAGTTGTTGTACTTATATTTTTCGAAGTTTCCCCTCTTTTTCTCTTAAAAAGCTCAATAATTGTTGGATTTTTTCCTATGCCAAGCTGCATTTATATAAAATTAATTCACGAACATAAAAAAATCAAATTTAGTAATCACCGTTCACCTTAACAATTATTAGATTAACTAAAGGAATACTAAAATTAAATATAAGATCAAATAATTCTAATTAAAATAATAAATATAATATTATTTAATTACGTACCTTTAAAAATTGAGTGTCAAACAATGGAGAATCTGATTAAAGCAATATTGGAGGAGCTTTAGTCTATGAGAAGGTGATTAACTCAAGGGTTTTTTATGAAATATTTTAATATTTTACCCTATTTATAAGCCTTTTGTCAGCTCCTACAATTATGTTAGCACTAGGGTAAAAAAACATAAAATTGGAGCAGGGTCGAGGCCCCAAGGGCCCTCCGTCTCTACACAAGCCTAAACTTGTAAGGTTCATTAAACTTAGCCAATACCTTTTCATTCCTCACGAGTAAAATCATCAATGGATGTAATTTTTAAAGGATTACCCTAACATTAACGATTGTAAACATGAAAGACCTATTTGATAATATCTTATACGCAACTCTTACAGGAGATGAAATTAGAATATTCAAAAGTTTAGATACCAATTTATAAAGAGGATCATATTTTACGGATGAAATTAGAATGTTCAAAAGCTTGATGACTAATTTAGAATGAAAGTCATAGTTTGAAAATGAAATTAAAATATTCAAAAGTTTAACGACCAATTTAAAATGAGAGTTATAGTTTGGAGACATATAATACAATTAAATCTAGGGTAAACTACGTATATAGTACCTAAACTATAAGTTTTGATCCGTTTTAGTACCTAAACTTTTAATTTTTTCAAAACTATACCTAACGTTTAGTTTTTGTTTCATTTTAGTATATTGTCATTAAAAATTTAATGTGTTTAGTATCTAAACTATCAGTTTTGGACCGTTTTAGTACCTAAACTTTCCTTTTTTTTTTCAAGATTTAAGGGTAATTTTTTCATTAAAAAAATAAAAGTTTATGTACTAGAACGGACCAAAATTAATAATTTAGGTACTAAACATGTAATTTACCCCTTAAATCTATTTTATCCATCATCAAAATATATATATATATATATATATATATATCCTTATTAAAAAATTAAACTAATTTTTTAATAATTCTTATTTAAAACTTGAATTAACCGACAAACCAAGCGACCTCGGTACTAAAGGAATTATTGTTATTCTTTGGTGTTCCGAGTTCAAGCACCATGAATACCAGGGGTGTGAACTTTCAATATCAAATGGTTAAGAATTATCTTTGAACATATACTACGTTGTACTTACCATATATTAATAAATAAATAAATAACTTAATTAACCGAAAATTCTAAACCTAAATATAGGTAAATTACATCACATAACAATATTATTTTTAATTTTCAATTAAATATCATATTTCAATAAAATATAATTGAATCATTTGATTAATCAATTATAGAAATTAAATAATTAAATCATCGTATTATTATTATATCTCAAACGATTGTTAAATATTTCAGTTACAATGTCAAAATTAACACTTAACATTTATCAAAGTAACGTTTTTTTGTTGCACTCATGGTTTTAAGGTTTTGCCTTGACTAATTCGGACCGACCTGTGTTGCACACTTAACTTTGGTGGGTGAGTCTCCCAACAAAGATTTTCTGCATACATAATGACTCAAACCTAAGACATTGCTTAAGCAAAATCAAGTTGCTTACGAATCCCTGTTGGTATCAAAGTAACATTTTGATTCTTATTTTCTTTTAAAAAAATATTTTAGATATAATATCAAAATTAATCCCTAATACTTATCAAAATAATTATCTTGACACCAAATTTTTAGAACATTTTTACTCCCAACATCACATTTTAAGAAAAACAATCCTGTAACATTTCACTATATAACTATTTTAACTAGGGATGGGCATGGGTCTAGTTGGGTCGGATTTTTGATCCACCCGACCCGACCCGAAAATTTTACATCCTTTACTCGACCCGATCCCAACCTAAAATAATAATAAAAATATTATTTTTATTAAATAAAAACAGTGATTTAATTGAAAAAAATAATATATAGAAGAATATTATTGCAATTATTTCTAAATATATAAGACAAAATTATTTTTCTCCCGGGTCGAGTATTTTTCACCCTAAACGCGAACCCAACCCGACCCGAATATAACATTTAAAAAAATCCAACCCCACCCAAACCAAACCCGAAATTTAAAAAAAATCAACCCGATCGTATCGGGTTCGAGTCTCATGCTCATCCCTAATTTTAACCCTTATTTTTTTATTTTAAAATATTTTAACGTCCAACATTTAGAATTTAATGGTTAGTTAACTAACGATGTTTATCCATCAAAAAATTGTCCCAAAACAAAACATCGTAGACCAAAAATACTCAAAGGCCAATAGACCATTTACTAAACATTGAAGGCTAATCTAGTATTATGCTAATATTTTATTCATGCAAAATTCATTTCATGTGTATACTTTATACTGAAAAATTACACAATAGATCACTCTATTATTAATCAATTACAATTACATCACTAAATCTTAAAAGGTTACAGTGAAGCAGTCCAGCCACCGTCTACACAGTGACTAATGAACCCAAATTTTACTATAACAATAATATAATCTCCTTTGTCATATTGATCAAATTAAATACTCAAATAATTAAAAAAAAGAATACTCAAATAAAAATACAATTACTTTCACAACCCAGTTTCTAGTTGTGTGAAACCAGGATTTAAAAGGAAGCTAGCAAAATTGGTTCACTTTAAAGAACAGAGTATGACCAGCGGGCAAGCAAGAATATGAGCATTTTCAAGGACTCAAGCTACCAGTTTCAAAGACAAACTACTTTGCCAAGCATGATAACATTCCGATAGATTCATATTCCGATATACTCAAACATCATAACGCATAAATATAAGTAAAAAAAAAAACACAGCTAACAAGAACATACTGCACTTTGATGTTTGAACATTAACATGACACTTTAAGCACAACACAAGACTCCCACTTACAGAACTCGAAAACAACAGACGCCGAAAACAAACATTTGCAAGACGGTTGCCGACTACAGACATGGGTCCTAAAGGCTTGCATTAAAGACATCTAACATCATCCACTTCAACAAAAGCCTCATGAAAACGACTTACCCCAGTGACCGCTACCTGTTGAAAACCATTAGAGTAGATCATTAGTAATGGCTACAAAGATCAAGATAATGTAAATTAAATGTCCAGGAAAAGAAAAATACCTTGCAAGTAGCTTGGAACAATCAACAATCTCCATGAGAGATGGCTCTAAGAAACAACTATCAGAGTGAGCATTAGGCACCAGGATGAACAAGACACAATCGACACTTTCAACTCGGAATGGAACTGATTAACCTAACAAGTTTCAGATGAAACCGATGACCACTTTACTTTTCCTTGCCGCCTTTTCTTAACAAAAAAACAGAAAAAGGTGGCGAGGAAGGGAAAACAGAGAGAAATCCCAAGTAACAGTATATTGAGGATATTTGATTGAATGCTGGAGAAAGGAAAGGAGTTGCAAGAGAAAAAGAACACTAATTTAGTCTAAGGTCGAAAAAGAGAAACAAAGGACACTAAGAAAAAAGAACAAAAAAAGAAACCAAAGGAATTTGGGAAGAAATTTAGTAGGGGGGTCTACAGACTAGAGTACATACACTGTATCAGAAATTAGCTTAAGGACAACAACTAAACAGACATTAATCACCAAGGACTTGATATTGTAAGGTCATCCACTACCAAATCATCAGTTTGATTTCATGTCAATCCAAATATAGAAGACAATGTTTGGTACTAACGAAACCTCCCCTTCGCTTCCTATTAGCTCAAGTCATCTTCCATCCATGCTTACAACAGCCACAGATCACATACCTTGTGCCTTAAGTCAATCAGAAGTTCTCATAAACCATCTCATAAAGGAAAGCCTAGAGATTGTCAACCTACCATCGCCGAATCTTTCTCTCATATCACCACCCAAAGAAAGCTAAACCAACACATACTAACCCATGCTACCTGCTACCAACCATCTTATTCAATCTATATACAATCAAAAAAACAAACTTCAAACTTTGCAAAGCGAATTTATTTATAGGAGCTGAAGAACTCCACTCTTTTCAGTCATTGGTATTGTCAAGGTTGAAAATACGACGTAAAGCCTTTGTGGCAGATGCAGAGTCAGCACTACAAAAAAGTTCAGCACAAGAAGGGCTAAGCTCCCTGGTAGGAGATGCAGGTGCAGACTTAGCAGTTTGGTGAACATCAACAACAGGGTCAGCAGCAGGCAAATCAAGCGACACGGTCCTCTTCACCCGAAGTGAGAATTTATGTATCGGCAAAGAACTCGGCGGCGGTGAATTGGAATAAGCAGGTCCAGCCCAAAGCTCAGAGTAAACAAAACCTTCCACGGAAATCTCATCGGTAAAAGGCTTACCATTTCTAGGGGTCCTATTGCTGTTGATAGGAATAGGAGAGCTTTTCCAGGTGGGTTTGGAGTGTGTTCCATCAGCAAAAGGAGATGGTGTTTTTGGGGAAGAAGGTGAAAAGGGAGGGGAAGATGGCTGTTTGGTTGGAGTAGAATTATACTTAAATGGGGTTGGGAGCAATCCTGCTCCGGATTGAAAACTCCTGCAATTGACCCCTCTGAAATTTCTAGACGGTGGTGATGACCCAAATCTGGCAGAATCGTGTGGCTTCACCCTGCTACAGTACTGATTCCTATGGTGCCCCACCACAAGTGTCTCCATATTTTTTTTCTCTCCAATTTTGATAATAAAAAACTTCAACCCAACAAAGAAGAAGCAACCAAGTCCTTCAAAAATCCCCTAAATCCTTGTTACGAATCACTTAAGTACATAATAAAGGCGACAACTTTTGAGTACAAAATCATGCCCAGATACAAATAAGATGGTAACTAAAATCGAACTGATTTACTTCTGTGTATCACTACTGGATTCAAATAAAAAAAACCACAACGCTATAACCTGGAATCAGATAAGATCTTCATTGATCACAACCATCAGTCATCAAAACTGCAACAAAAAAAGAACGAATCTTAAATTAAAACAAAAGCAAACATAAAATTGGGGATAAATATCTCAAGAGAAACTTGGGAGTGTGAAAATCACCGGGAAAAAGGGTGTTGGCCCTTGAGACATGTTTGGGAATGAAGTAAGATCTGATATCGTTTAGATCTGAAGAGGGAGTAAAACTTTCTTCTTCTTTTTTCTTTTCCTTCTTGTTCTGGAGAAGATGATTTCATGTAAATGGGTGTTGAGTGAATCTAGTTTTTTTTCCATTTGATTTTAGGAACGTTTTTTTTTATCTATTTTTTGAGCTCAAATCATCAAAACACTACAGAAATGAGAGTGAGAGTGAGAGTGAGAGTGAGAGTGAGAGTGAGTGGGAGAGAGAGAGCAGACTTTCACGGATCTGGAATAATTTCCTCACTGTTATATTTAAATATCATCTATGTACTCTATAGCTCTTTCTTCAAATATTATCGAATTAATATTTTTTTTATAAAGTAATGATTATGAAGAGTATTTTCGTGAAGTTTTGATTAAATTGACGTCATAGTGAAAAGACACAAATTATGAAGTGCATTTTTGTGGAGTTTTATTCGAATTGTCACAATATTAAAAGGTACGGATCATGAAGTGCGTATTTACGGAGAAATCTGACACGTACAAAAATATGTATATCATGAGATGCGTATTTCATTATTCACCTTAAATTTTTGCACTCTATTATCATGAGCCTTAAATCTCATCTATTCATCCATCCCTCCCCTATAAATACACCGAATACAAACATCAAACCACACTAAAATTATTTTTACATTTTTCATTCTATCAAATTAAGTAGATTTTGATATAGTTTTTAGAAAGTAAAATTATATTATATTATATTTATTTTATATTTAATGTGCTACTCAAGTGATGTGCTACTCAAGTGATGGGCTACTCAAGTGAAAAATAAATAAAAACATTACAAACTAAATAATAAAAACAATTAAATAGAAACATTAACTACAAACGTTACAATGCAAACAATTAAATAATAAAAACATTAAGAAACAAAATAAATAAAATGTTCATAATTAAATAAAAACATTAAGAAACGAAATAAATAAAAAGTCCATAATTAAATAAAATCATTAAGTAATAAAATAAATAAAAACAAGTCTATCGATGTTTGTGTCTTGAATGTGTTTCATAGGACGGTGGTTGTCTATTTCGATGAGGATTTCTTCGTATAAGTTGCTCTTCTTCCTCACTCTTATCATCATCATAATCATCAGCAGCAACAACAACAATAGTAGCTATATTTTGTTGATGAGGGACGGATGACGATGTAACACCTCCATAGAATAGAGACCCTGGAGGTGTATGACTGACCATCCCACCATTCATAGAAAACTATGAAAACTATGAAAACATTGACATCGATGAATGTGAAAACTGAGTCGGAGGTGTCTGTGTCTCTGGTGAAGCATCACCCGCCAAATAAGCAGCATATGAAGACCACGCTGGATCTATAAGCATGGGAGTATATCCTCTAGGAGGTGTCATAAAACTCTATGGTGGTGGCATCTGAAATGGATGCGGTGGCATTGAAAATAGTTGTGGTGCCATCTGAAATAACTGCGGAATATAAACTGGTGTAGACGATGGCTGCTATGATGGTTCCAGTGTTGCAGCTGAGGACAAGCCAGAAGTGCCTGTTATCCATCCACAAGTCGGCGCACGATGATATTGTGACAGTGGACGCTTTTTTCGACGCTGATAATTGCTCATGCCTCGTGCTTTCTATGAAAGTATGAATGGTTTCTCGTTCGTGTTGAACCATTGATAATAGTAATCCTCAACCGAATAATGATCAACATAAATTGTCTCCGTACAGGGAATGCGTCCACGTCGATCCTCCCAGATTATTACCCACTCGTTGTGTTTAATCACCCAGTCAACATCTTTTTTTGCCCCGACTATCGACGTTATACATATTTTCGAGATTCCTAGGTGCTTCAAGAATAGATTGTATGAAACCAAATTGGCAGAGCACACGATCAGTAGGATGCCACTCGACAATGACATAATATATCAGAGATACCACCGCCATCCATACATCTAATGGGCCACTCAAGTAAGATGAGATGCAATGCCTCATTTCTTCAGTACAATAAGAAGCTCATTGAAACTAAAATAAATATATATAATTCTTATCAAAATAATATTCTAATTATATAATGATAATTAAAGGTAAATAATAAAATTTAAATACATACCTATGTGCCAACATTTTGATTAATGAGTAGCCAAAATTATTTCAATTCATCTGGTATATCACAATGATTTTTTCTTATACATGACCGCCAATTTAGTGTAAAAAAATTCATTATAAAAAATTCATTATATACTTAAAAATTATTTATATACGAACTCAGTATTAAAATTATCTCAACAATAACAAGAAGACTAACGGGTTTTCATGATCAAACATAAAAAGGACATGTGATACCATGCCCAGGACTGCAGAATAAGCATATATCCGCCGATAACATTTTTCTGATAATCAGTTGCCCGACATATTTCTCTATACAAAGATGCCAAAACCGTGGATCCCCAATTGAATTAGTCGGCAACTCAAAAATATTCAAGGTAACACAACCACATACAATGAACTTGATTGCGAGATTTATCGGGCATCAAGATCCATCCTATGAGTTGTAATATGCAAGCTCGGGCAAATATTTTAGCTTGTTCCTCGGAACAATCTTCGCTTAATTGTCAAACATTTGTATCCAAACATGATAATTGTATTCGACTACAGTTGAAATTAGGTGGGATGCCTCCAAGATAATCCTTACAAAAGGAATGTCAATCACCATCCGCTACACCAGAAATAACATCCCCATCTACTGAAAGTCCCAAGCGTTTGGAAATATCCTTCAGTCTAATAGTGCACTCCCCACATGAAAGATGGAATGTGTGTCTCCGGTCTCCATCTCTCAACCAGTGCAGAAATAAGGTTGGGTTCAATGTTACAATGTCCTTCATATTTCGCTATGTCACCGAATCCAAGCACGACTTAATACGACCATACACGACTCGGTCAAAAAGGGTGCTAGATCGGTAATATTTGGCGAAAATGTATCTGACAGGTAATATTTCATTGTTAGGATGATTTTTTTAGTAAAAACACATCCATCTTTTTTTTTAATTAAAATAGACCCATCAATTAATCATTTGATAATGATTAATTATCATATTATATATCCGATATTCAAACTTAAAATTTCACAAAATAATGATAAAGTTATTATTCACTAAAATCATTTGATTCGTGTATTCTTTTTATATTTAAATTTTAGGGTAAAGTATAGTAATGGTCACTGAACTTTTCTAAAGCTTTTATTTAGGTCCCCTAACTTTTAAAACTTACAATACAGTCCCCAAACATTTAATCCATTTACAATATGGTCCCCGACCGTTACACTACCGTTAGTACATTTGCAATAGGTCACTGAACTTTTCAGCCACTTGCATTTAGGTCCCCCCAACTTTTAAAACTTGCAACATATTTCTCAATTTCATTCTAAACACCAAATTCTTTTTCGATCTCGAATTTCTTTTTTCGCTTCTCTCTTCTCATTTCCAGTATAACTTTTCAGTCGGTGATGCATGGGAAATTCTAATATAACTTTGAATTATGTGGAGGTGTTGACTTGAATAAGGGTCTATTGAGAGAAGACTTGAATAAGGGTCTATTGAGAGAAAACCCGACCAAGGGACTATCGGGACCATCAACGATTCAAGGTGTAATGTTAGATACATGTCATCTCAGGTGAAGCATATATGTTCGATAAAATGCTTGTGAGAAAAAATAGGGTTAGAAATACAGAGTTGACAAATACTACTAAGATGAACTAAGTATTATTGTTGAAAGTCACTAATAAAGCTGGAATTATTTTGTACGTTTTCACCTCTCAGTCTCTTTCGCTCACATGCACTCTCTTTTTGGTTTTTGTTCTTCAATTTTCCGCCATATAAAATTGTAAACCCAAACAGTGCTCTGTCTTTTAGCTTTTTATTTACAAAAAAAGGAGGAAGAATTGCTGGAATGCAACACTGATTGCGTTTATTTCTTAGCCTCTCCCCTCACTTGTAAGAAGGTATTTATTTTCTCTTTTGGGCTATCCAGAAGTAAGCTTTTCCTCTTTCGCACTTTCCCATTTTCAACTCGCATTGTGTGTTTTTTGTTGAAATTTTTATGTTTCTGGAACTACATGTCAATGATCTGGATATTCAGTGTTAGTTTTGAACCAAAACCATCTAATTGTCTTTCTTTCTTCTTAATCAAAACTTTTAGTACTCCTTATGAAAGATATTCAGTCTATCAAAATAAAAGTGAAATAGAGTCCTAGACTAATTGTTTTTATATTCTTGTTTGGTTTTCTTTAAATCAGGGAATTGGTTGTGAGTATCGATATAGTGAAATCGTCAGGCTCAATCCGAGAGGCTGCTGATACTAGTTTACTGGGAATTGTATTAATCCGACCTGTGGTTTTCGACGTCCTGTGAGCTCGTATTCTTTTTAATAAGTTCATGTTGATTATGAGACTGATATATCGTAAACGAATTGGATTTTTTTACATGTTTTGGAAATTTTACAGTTGAATTGTATTGAATTATAGCTTTATAAGACAATTATGCATGCATGCAACTCGAAAGGCATCATGACAGGGTAGTATATTTGGAGTAACTACTTGACCATGTCATGATACCTTTCGAGTTACGAAAGAGACTGAGAGGTGAATGTGTTGTTTGGGATTTCATTATATTTGATTATCTGTTGGAAAATATTTAACAACAAGGATTAAACGAAGAAATTATTATATGTCATTTATACAAAATAATTCCAGCTTTATTAGTGACTTTCAACAATGATACTTAGTTCATCTTAGTAGTATTTGTCAACTCTGTATTTCTAACCCTATTTTTTCTCACAAGCATTTTATCGAACATATATGCTTCACCTGAGATGACATGTATCTAACATTACACCTTGAATCGTTGATGGTCCCGATAGTCCCTTGGTCGAGTCTTCTCTCAATGAACCCTTATTCAAGTCAACACCTCAACATAATTCAAAGTTATATTAGAATTTCCCATTTATTCCCGACTGAAAAGTTACCCTGGAAATGAGAAGAGAGAAGCGAAAAAGGAAATTTGAGATCGAAAAGGAATTTGGGGTTTATAATGAAATTGAAAACTGTGTTGCAAGTTTTAAAAGTTGGGGGACCTAAATGCAAGTTCCTGAAAAGTTTAGTGACCATATTACAAACGTA